TCATAATCCAACTAATCTAATAGTTGAAACTAAAAACTCAACGCAACTTAACCTTTGAGCCTTTCTTTGAATTTCTATGACGCGTGTTGGAGTGTCCGAGAGTGTCGGAAAGTGTCGGACATGACACATCAGGATTTTTGAAGTGTCGGTGCTTCATAGGCTGACATCGCCAGGTACAGGCGCTGCATCACTGCTACCTTAGCGGTGTCAACTTCCCCCAGCGAATCCCAAGGAGCGTTGACCCCCTATCACCAACCCGCACTAGATCAACACGCTCGACCCCTATAAATACCCTTCTCCATATACAGAGAAGGCATCTTATGTATCGTTATTATGCCCGTATGTATTAAGTCACAGTCTTACACACACCCAACCTTCCATTGTTTTCAGCTTGCATCATATTTGGAATAGTACTTTCTAGTCTGGTCTTTACCATCGCTAGAGGTATCATCCATATAGTGACATCATCCCCAAAGGGAACATAGTGATATACCATAATTCCCTCTTTGTACCAAAAAAAAGATTACATAAATTTTTGTATGATAAAAGTTATTGAGATACCATCAAGGTATAGTATATGAAATATATTGAACATTATGGCATGTTCAGAGGAAGCATATTTGAAATGAAGATGTTTTAAGAGCCCCAAATGACACAATGCAATGTAAACAAGTAAACGTATAATATAATCTGATGCAATATTTTAAAAATATATTACCCTTAATATAATCTTTATCAAGTAAATTTTATTAAATAGAAGATAAAATTAAGTTATTTAATAAAACTGATGTAAAATTTATTTAGCAACCGAAAAAATGTATTCAAAAGATTAGAATTATTATTACCTATTTATTTAATCTTTATACTCTTATTAGTTATTACATTTATATTAATATTAGATTAAATTTAATTCAATGATCTCAAATATAATAATTTTTTTAAAAAAAATTGTTTTTTCTTTCCCCTATTTTTCTTAACAAATTACACATCTTGATTTTGTTATTTTGGACCATTGAGTCAAATTTAATATAATAATAATAAAATGGTGATAAGAATAAAAGATTGAAGCTAAGAAATGAGAAAAAAATGTGTCATTTTGAATGATACAAGTTGTATCATTTTACTCTTACAAAAAATAAGATCCACTGAAAAAGAAAAAAATGAAATCCACACATTTTTATGAGAATAAAATAATACAACTTGTGTCATTTAAAATGAAAAATTCTCCCTCCCCCTAAGCAAAAATAATATTTTTTATTTAAAATTTAAATTAAAAAAAATCACCCACTTTCTCTCCCATGATTTTTATTTCTTGTGTCCATCTCTCTCTTAAAATGACATAACTTATATCATTTAAAATGACAAACCTCAAACCCTAAATTTTATGTTCTATTCAAAACAAGGTCGTGATTATGTATTGTTTATCAGGATTAAATTATAAAAATATCTGCTGTGTGCATCTCAAATTACAATCAATCATGTGCAAATAATCATTATCAATTTAAATAATGGTTTAGAGGGAAATCCATGTCTTTGTCCTAGTTCAAGCAGCCTAAAGCTACCGCCAAAACCATACGACATGGTCAACATTTGAAACTTTAAATTTGTAGGGAGAAAAAAAAAAAAACAATGATTTCAATTTTCAAAGAAAAGAAAAGAAAAAAAGCTGGAGCAGAAAAACCGAAAACGACCGCTACCTTTTGCATAGGCTAAAATGGGAAAACTGCAAGATTTCCCTCCTCCGAAAAACGACGTCGTACCTACGATAATATGAGCCACTGAAACAGACATCGATCCAAAAACAACCATCGGCAATGCTAATAAATATTTTTTTGACATATTTTATAATAGGAGAAATATATATATATATATATATATATATATATATATATAACTAAATGAGATTCATTTCTTTGCTTTTTTTTCTTCAATGGGTTCTATCTATTTTTTTTATTTGTGTATGAGAAAAACTTGTTTATTGAGAAATATATTACTCTTATAATATAATCTTTATCAAGTAAATTTTATTAAATAGAAGACAAAATTAAATTATTTAATAAAACTCATGTAAATTTATCTAGCAACAGAGAAACTGTATTGAAAAGATTAGAATTATTATTATGGACAAGGGTTATATTTATAATTTTGTTTTAGAAACTACGTTATATACTAAGAATAGTACATTATATGCTAGAATGTATTATCTTTTGGACATTATAGGGAATCGAACCGCACACTTAATACCCACTAAACACACCCAACCATTGAATGTATTATCTTTAATACATAATATAATTTATAAACAAAAAATTGTAAATATAACTTTCATATTATTACCTACCTATTTAAATTTTTTACCCTTACTATATTTATATCAATATTAGATTAATTTTTCTTTCACCTATTTTTCTCAAAAAATAACCATCTTCTTTCTCTCTCATCCAACCATTGATTTTTTTTTTTGATAAACTCCGTTGATTTAAATTTAAGGGAAAAATACTTCTCATGTTGCATAAGAAATATTTTCTCATATTATAATTTTTCGATTTGAATATAAATTTTTATTTTTTTATTTTTAATAAATGTGAGACTCATCACTAGTTGAGTCACAACATGAAAAATTCCAATTCTCATTTAACATGAGAAAATCAAAGCACTAAATTTAATGTAATAACTAATAATAATAAAGGGTAAAAGATTTCTCCAATCACCGGAAATAAAGTTATCTCCAGTGAGCTCAAAACGACGTTGTTTTGGGACAAAAATTAAGGTATTTTTGTAATTATATTATATTGCAGGGTTATATTAGTCTTTATCATTATACTTTTTTAATCTTATAACTCAAAATAACGTCGTTTTGAGCTCACTGGAAATAACTTTATCTTCGATAACTGAAGAAATACTTTTCCCAATAATAAAACGGTCATAAGAACAAAAGATTGAAGAGTAAGAATTATAAATCTTACCCTAGAGTCAAAAGATCCTGCCGGTTATCATTATTATTCTTTCAATTCAAACTTCGTTTTTAAATTTAAACAGATAGAAGCAGGGGCAAATTGGTAAAATCACGCGCACTCTTTTTCTTCTTAATAACAGAAACCTACACAGTTGCTTGGAGCGGCAACAGTAATGGTTGGGGGAGAGAGAAAAACCACTCTCATCTCAGAAACGGAACCTCTCAACAACAACACCCATTCCCATTCCTCCATCACCATGCAACAACACCAAGCTCAGGTTCGTTGGGTTCTCTTCAAAATTTCAAATTTTCATCTCAAAAAAAAAAAAAAAAACTACCTAACATCACCGTCACCGTCACCGCCGTATCCTATGCTTCTCTCGCCTTGAATCAATCACACTCATAAACTCAATTTATTTTTTTAATTTTTTTTATGCTATCTTAGTTCTGAGTTTAAGCTCTTTGATTTTTAGTTCTTTCGGTTTTTCTTTATTCTGATAATATTTATTTATTTATTGATGTTTATGTGATTTGATTTTTGATGGATTGGTGTTTTTGTTTTTGTTTTTGTTTGCAGGAAATGGTGGCTTTGAAGAAAGCTTACGCGGAGATGATTCTGAATACTGCGAAGGAGGCTGCGGCTCGGGTAATGGCGTCGGAACGGAAAGCTCTTCGGTTCGGGAACGAGCTCGCTTCGGCGAAAGAGGAGGCCCTTCACATGTTACTCCGCTTGAAGCAGATGATTGATGCTAAGGTTTCATTCTCAAACCCAACTCACGTGGCTGTTATGGTTATTTGATGACTTTAATGTTTGGAAGTTTTATATATATCTGTGTGTGTGTGTGTGTGTGTGTTTTAAATAAACAATCCGTTTGGTTTAGGTTTTGGTTGAATTGAGGTTAAGAGAATTAATTTGTATTTGGCAATGATATTTTGAAAGTTAGTTTAGAGGAGTTGATTTTGTGTGGATAGTAACGTAGAATTGCTTTTGAAATGTAATTAGTATATTTTGGAAGATTTCATGGGTTTTACACCTAAATTCAATTCTATACATTTGGAGAAGCGCTTCTCACAGAATCAGTTTTACAACCTAGAATGAATTATTTTGGAAGCAAAAGTGATTTTGATGGAAAACTAAAGCACTAAGAAGAAGCTGATTGAGTAAAGGTCCTTAGGATATGGAAGATCCTTAGGATCATAAGTGATGTGATGGGAGCAGATTTTGATTGTTCAAGTGGCGTTGTTATGCCTATCATTTTCTGGATGAAATGAAATGTTATATATCAAAACTTTTGGCTGCGTTATTATTTTGCTTATCACATTTTGTCTTTTAAGTGGCAAGCTGTGAACTAGACTACCTAGCTCTGACTGTGTTCTGGTCTAACTTTTCTTTTGCTTTTTCTTCTGTGAATGTGACTAGACTCTGTTTTGTATCCTCAGAATTAATCTTATTCCCCTCGGGATGCTTGATTTTCTACAATGGAAGCTTGGAGATGCATTATTCCATCTCAGTAGTAACTCTTACCCTCTGACTGTGTTCTTCTCTTCTTCCTCTTTACAGGATATTACCTCTTCCATTATCTGTTTCCTGTGCTACTACTAACTGGCACATAATTCGGCATTTTGTTTTATTAATTTACCTATTAATCAACTTCAAATCCAGCGAGATCAAAGAATAATAATAGGTTGACTCGGCAGCAGTGCATTATTTTCTATTCCCCATTTTGTTCTCGCGAGTCAATGATGTTTCACTAGAAATAACATAATTTAAGCACTCTGAAAAGACACATTTAGGGGATGGGTGTGTGGATAGGGGGCAGGGAGGCGGATTCTAAATTTCTATTAATTTTGGATAAACCTGAGAAAAAAGATATGGGTGAAAAAGGTACGTAATCGATTTCTCATTATAGACTGAGAGATATTGTTCTCGACATATATTCAACATTCTCCCTGACCGAGTGCCAAGATAAAGGGAAAAACAAAACTCATGCATGTTTATTTGGTCAGCTTGTGCTTCTTCTATGCGAACCTTCTTCCCATAGAAATGACGGTTATACTTTTCAATGCACGTGATAATGAACTGAAGTTCTTCATTCCTGAAAAACAAGTTGAGCAGTCACTCCTTCATGCTTTTGCTTGTTTCAATTTTTATCAATGACAACTAACTTTCAGTCCCCCTTCCCTCCCACCCCACCCCACCCGCAGAGTATTTTAATGATTTCCCATTTCTGTTCACCTGTAATCTGTCACTTACTTTTAATTTGGATGATAGTGTTGAGATATATAAAATCATTAATGTAGCCCCACCCAATAGTTTTAATGAAGTTTGAGCAAACTGATAAACTGTTGTGGCTTTTCTCTTTTTTCCTGTTGTGTTTGAAAGTCATGAAAAAACTTTATTTCTCTGCTTGTCCAATGAGATATATCCTGCTTCAGGTCACATATCTATACCAGTTCTTAAGCTGAATCTAAATTATTCATGGAATTAATGTGTTTTTATGCATGCATCCATACTTATAGTAGGCATATTTTGATACTATTATTTTATGTCATCTCCCTGATCGAGTCCTAAAAGTTTGAATGATTGGAAGGGTGTGGGGGATACATTTTTCCAGTCTTGGATAGTCAATAGACAAGAAATTATGTCATCCCCTGTTAGAATCTGTACAACAACAAGGACCAAGCCTTATCAAAGTCTGTACTTACAAGGAAATTCTCTTTAGGGCATGACTGAAATTATCATAGTTGCTGTACTTAAGGTTCTCATTAATTGAAGAATCCTTTGATACTTGACTTGAAAAACCACTCTAATTTAGTTGTATTGCCCACTTTGATGTGCTTTTTGATATTTTGGATAACATGTATCATAAACAAATGTTTTCTTTGTTTACAGACAGCTGAAGCGGAGATGGCATCATTGAACCAGGAAAGAAAAATTGAAGAGCTTGAAGCACAATTGAATGAGGCTGAGGATGTCATAACAGATCTTAGGGCTGAGTTGAAACATGTATATTTTAAGTTAGAAAAGACAAGGAATGGTCAGGTCCAGTCGTTGGATGGACAGAATGTAAAGCAAGTTGCATCTTTTCAGGAGAGTGCAAAACCTGAGACTTCACTATCCTCTCCTAATAAAGAACTTGAATGTGTAGCAAGATGTGATGTGAAGGAAAAATCCCTGACTCTGAATGTTTTAGATGATACGTACTGTAATTCAAAAGAACAAAGTGAGCAATTGTGCATCTCTAATTTGGAGGATTATTATGCTTATGCCTCTGACTTTGCTTCCATCATCATGAGAAGCAAGGACCCTGAACTGTGTAAAAATGGATTTACTCACAGAATCTGTGCACTCGAAGAAAACTTGCTGGAGGAAAAGCTGCTCACTCGGGATGTGCACAATCAACATTTTGGTAAAAGGCATGGGCTCATTGTCAAGGACAGTAATGGGCAAGTTGCAAAATTTAGTGTACCGTCTGCTAGGAACAAAAAACTGGAAATTAAGAAGCATGCTAAGTGCCATAAAAAACAAAAACGGAAGATTCTTTCCTTTTGCAGGTCTTGTTTTCTATCTTCTTGTAAACTACAAATAAATGGGGACAATAAATGCAACAAAACTGTGTGCGCTCTACCTTCTATCAAGCCTTATGCCATTAGTGAATGTAGAAGAAAGAAAAGAATACATAGACATTTAGGAATGAAATCTTCTGTTTGTGAGAATTGTCAACCGTCATTTGTTCTTAAGCAGTGCTCATCTGTCTGTGATAATGGAAAATGTTGTGAAGATGAATGTGTTGCAGAGATGAAGCCAGTGCTCCCTTTAGCTGATGTAGAACCTGTTCATGGGTCCACTGATGTTACAGAAAGTGTCCGGTCTGTTAATAAATTAGAACTTGTGGAGAAGCCTATTGAGAAGGCTAATGAGTTATTAAATATAGAAGGGAGCGCTACACAGAATTTAACAGGTCCAAGTTCTAATATGAAAACTGAGGTTGTTGATGTTCCATCTACAAATACTGATTTGGAAGATGCAAAAGCAGTTGAAGAAACTGATTCATATCCTGGTCAATCAGATGACAGTAGGCTTCTGAAGTATACCTTCCAAAGGAAGCGGAAAAAATTATCCTTGGGAAACCCACATGAAAAGATTGATTCTGAGAAGAACACAGCAAAGAGGAGGGTGGTGAAAAACAAAATGGTGCAGTAGAAACTTAGATATCTAGCATGATGGATGAGCCTTATGGAGATAGTCAGCGCCTGGCTCAGGTTGCTCATCAGGTCTGTCAAATTCTCTTATTATGTCTTGAATGCATACAATAACTTACCCTTATTTCTTCTAATGCTTATTGAATTGTGAGCACAATCATAGATAATTGGATATGATTTAAGTGCTAATGAGTTTTTGGTTAAATAAATACAAAGGGTTATCTGGAAGTTTGCTGTGGATCATGAATACCCAGGATTGACATAATTATTTTGTCAGGAATTTTCTAGCCTTTCTCTGATAAGAACTTTGGGATGCACTTCCCCAAAAGCTAGCTCAAAGGGTAGAAGTGTCCAAAGTCTTATAAACCCCACATTAGTTGTCCATACAATTAGTGTGGGACTCCAAGTCCCATACCTTGCAAATGGGTCCTAACTCCCAAGTCCTAGCTTCCTCCATTGATAAGTTTTATGTTCTCTTTAAAATAACGTCAAGATAGAAAGTTGCCCTGCTATAGAAATATACTGATGGCTTACACTGTTGCTTCACCTTAGAAATTCCATATTTGAGCTCCAGTCTGAATTTATTAATTTTCTTTATGCAGCTTGTATCTTTGTCTGCAAAAAGGTGGTGCTATCAATATGGATGCTTAAGGCTGGATGATTCAACTATAGCGGGCCTTTGAAGCAAATAACACTTTGAAGCGGGTTCATAGTCTCAGGACATCACATACATGACCTGACTATATGTGCTACTGTATGCCATTTATTTTGAGAGGAATGAGTCTGCTAGGTATGCCCTGATTGTTTAGCAATGCTGTGTTTAGTCCTGACTTGGGTATTCTCACTCCCTTTGGTTGTGATATTAATCCCATTCGAGGTACTGAGGCTGCTTGTCCCAGCTGCATTCCGCAGGCTCAAACCCCTATTTCAGAGGCCCTTAAACCGCTTATTTCAAACTTGCTTAATACTTGGTCATAACTTGGTGGTAGCAGCGCTTAGGATGTTTGTTAATTTTTTCTATTCCTAATTTCAAGTTTCTCCATTTTTATATTGTTAACTTCATGTGAAGAAAAGGCTTTATATTATTGAAACTTGATTGTAATTCTTACATTTCAAGTATACTTTGCAAGAACAAGGCTTTGCTGGTGATTGAATTTGGGAGCTGCTGAAATTTGTTAGTATTGGAAAGTTTATTGAATTTCTCTTGGATGTTATACAGGGGTATGATTATTGATTTTGTAACAAAAAATATAAAGTAATACAATAAGGGAAAAATGTGTATAATTTCAAAGGACACAAAGTTGTATCATTTTAAATGAGAGAAAGAGATAAATCATGGAAGAGAGAGTTGGAGAAAAAAGATTTAAAGATGTGGGTCCTACCTCTTTGTGAGAGTGAAATGATGTAAGGTGTGTCATTTAAAATGACACACATTTTCCCCATACAATAAATGAAGTTCCCTAGGGGAATCTGAGTAGGTAATTGACAGTATTTAAAGTTATTTTTGATTGGTTTTTCATATAAATTTTAATTAGTTGTCAACATCAAATTGTTCTATACTATCATCCAATTACTATTTGTCACATCATTAAAAGAATTCAATCAACTTTTACTGATACATGACATATACGCTTAAAACAGTTTTACACCATGGTAGATTAAAATTGACTTCTAGTTTTTCAGATGTAAATTTCACTGTTCCTTGGAAGTTTTGTTCTTATATTTACATGTAATTATACAAAAAGTTATACATGGCCATAGTAGTATTCATCAATTGCACTCTAATACCATGAGTCCATGACAACATAAAGAGCAAATGAATTCTCATCAAGCATGCCTTTCACCCTCATAATCCAAAAGCCCACCACCAAGGAACCCATATCACAGTGGTGAACTTTCTAACCGATAAAGAATCTACTGTGTACTGTGGCTGGTCACTTTTGGCAGGACCAGCTAAAAAGTAAGAAGGATACAAGGTTAAGAGCTTACATCATTGGACATGTGGGGACATTCTGTGATTATATGTGCATATCAGGCGTGCTTTTGGTCCATCACGTTTCTATCTTTTTGGCCTTTCATCCAGTAACTCTAGTGCTCTTTAATCTCCTGTTCTCACACTTTGAGTAAGAGATTCCAATTCCCCTGTTCTCTAGGTACTTTTTCTAGCGTTACTTTCACGTCATTGTACCCATATTACTCCGCTAATTTTGTTTCAAAATTATAAATTTTTATCAGCAAAACATGTGGATCAACTGGTCAGGGATTGTTCTAGTTTAACGAGTGATATTAAATTCAAGTGTCTGAGAATGCAGATGTGTTAAAATTTGGTAAGAGAGCTTTGTGTCGCCCATGTAATTTTCGAATTAGACTAGTCGAATAATCCATGAATCGATGGATAATATCCAAAAGTAAGATAAAAAAATAAAAATAATTACATGTTTCCAAGACTTAAAACCAAAACAAAGAGAAACATGAAAGTGGAATATATTTCTACTTTCAATGAGTAATTTGTATTAAACCACCACTATGTGCCAATGTCACGAGCCTATCACTCCTATAAGGGTAGTGGCTATTGGTGATTTGGTGTGCACGCCAAGCCAGACATACACTAACATACAAAGCTAAATCCTAAGTTGGATCAGAAAATCATCACCACATGGAGGGTAGCAGTCGTGGCAAAGTAGCATTCCTTGTATGTATTATGTTTGCTTGTCTCCTCAGCACCTTACACCACTCACACCTTGCTTTGATTTCCTCTCAGCAACACAACTTTAACCCTTCATTGTAGTTATGCAGTCCCCCACAATACCAACAAAACTATCATTCTTTCTTGCACAGGAACCACTTTCTCATAGTGATTTATAGTCAAGGTCTTAGCTCAATTCTAAGCAGCAACAAGACCCAAAATGGAGGTGAAGAGGAGGGAATGTGAGAGAGTAACCAAGGAGGAAGAGCACAAGGAGGATAGTACACACATTATTGTGTTAACAGCAGGTACATTTCTTCTAATGGTGTGTCTAAAGTACTTTCTAGTTGAGCAATGGCGTGCTTGGGTGTTCCTAGTCCTCAATGTGATTCTATTAGCCATTCTATTCATGTCTATGAGGCCAGGCTATTGTGATCAAAATTCAAAAAGTGAAAACAATGTTGAAGAAGTAAAAAATGAAAAGAAAGAGAAGAGTAAACCATGTGAGTGTTCTCAAGAAATTGAATGCTGCAAAAAACAATGTTGGACTAGTACTAATGTCCATGTTCAGAATGAGATAGAAGAGGATGAGGAAGAGGAGGAGGAGGAGGAGCAGGTAACACTGTTATCCAAGGAGGAGTTGAATGAAAGAGTGGAAGCTTTCATAGCCATGTTTAGGCAGCATTTGATCTCTGATGTCATACAATCTGAAAATTTCAGGCTCAACAAAACTGTAAACTTTAGAACTAAGATTGAAGTGCCTTGCTATTGAGGTTTAGGTTCTAATGACAGCTACTACAAATTTTGTTTTATTTCTTCTAAATGATTAAGGATGTCCTTTATTACTATATTTTTTGGATTGAATATCCAATTTGCAGGCCTCTTGTTTACATTATTATTATTATTTATATTTTTTTTTGGAAGATTTGTTTACAGTATCTTTATTCTTTACTCTTTTTCAATGATCACTAATTATCATGAGTACTGAAAAATGTTCATTTACAATATGTATTTTGTTGTTGTGCATGCACTTATTCCCCTGCATTGTTACAAAGCGTTAACCCACAACTAAGAGTGTGTTTGGTACTAGAGAAATTTTTTGGTATCCGAAATATTAAGCGTGGGATAATTTTATTTCCTATATAACACAAGAAATATTAAATCATATTTATAATTAGATAAACATCAAATTTGTTTGAGATTGACTAAAATATAAAATCAATTTTATAATGGATAAATATACTTTCAATTCAATTTTTTAAATTCTAAATCTATTCTTCCTATCTTATTTATGACTTGTTGTATATTTCAAATATATTTAAGATTGATTAAAAATAAAAACGTATTTTAATTTTATTCTTCATGCCTTATTTATTATATATTTTTATTTAGATACAAATTAAATCTACTTTTAAAAATAACTTTTAAAAATAATCCTATTCTTTCTATCTCATTTATTTATTGTTATTTATTTAGATTCAGATAAAGGATAATGATTTATATAATATTTAAAAATTATTTTCTTGTTATATTTTTAAATCTAATGATTCGAAAAGATTCATCATCAACTACTAAAAAAACAGCCATTGAGATATATTTGAATTGCAATTCGATAACCAAATATTTTATATTATCAAATACATTCGAATTTAAATATATTAAAAAGTTAAGATATTATCACATATGATATGTACAAAATCAAATCAGATTCAAGTATTATATATTACATTTTTGCAAACAAAGCTCACTAGCGCGCGCTCATATATATATATATATAGGGATAGGATCCATTGACACCGGTGTCAAATTTTGAAATTTGACACCAAATCCTAACCGTTGATTTCTGCCAATCAACGGTTATCATTTATTGGGAATTAATGATTAATTAATAAGTGTAATTCCCAAAAAATGATAATCGTTGATTGACGGAAATCAACGGTTAGGATTTGATGTCAAATTTCAAAGTTTGACACCGGTGTCAAAAGATCTGCCCCAAATATATATCCCTACCAAGAAAAAAAAAAGGGAACATAAAGTTAAACTCTCCCTTCCTCGTAGTCATAGAGATTAACACAAATTACAATGAGTGACTATCTCCCAGATGTGATAGTGGAGGATATCCTTCATCGCCTACCACTTAGAAGCATTGGAAAATGCATGTTAGTGTGCAAAGCATGGAACAGAATCATAAAGAGTCACACTTTTACATTCTCACACCTTCAACACTCTCTCTCCAATTCCTCTCCTCCCATGGTCATTATGGGCACCTATTCATATTATGAGGATGAGAACTTTTCCATATGTTCCTCTTCCTTTCAAAGAATAGAAAATATCAAACACTCGCTTCCTAATCCTAATTATGCAGCTTCCCTTTTTCAAAGTGTGGGCGCAATAAACGGCGTCGTTTGCCTCTACAGCCCTCACTTTGAATTCATTTATGGTATCATACTATGGAACCCTTTGATAGATAGACACCTCAAACTCCCAACCCCACTTTTCACCTTCAAAAATTTATACAAAGCAGGACTCGGGTTTGGATTTGATTCAAAGAAAAATGATTTCAAGTTGTTAAGGATTGTTTATCCTATACCCCCTACGGGATGGGATGATACTCCCCAAAAAGAAAAAAAAGGTGATGAGTTTTTCTCATGGATACCAAAGGTTGAGTTGTATTCACTCAATGAAGGTGCTTGGAGAGTCATTGATGATGATGATGATGATGATTCTTCATCGCATGGGTTATTAAGAAGAAAAATATCAGAGAAGACACCTTGCTTTTTCAATGGGAATGTGCATTGGATTGCTTATGATAAATATGGAATATCTATTTTATATTGATCTTCAATATGGTGGAGGAAAAGTTCAACCGAATGGAGTTGCCAGAGAAGGTCAATAAATGTGCATTTTTGGATGTTTCTGTTATTGAAGATTGTCTCTCTCTTATAGAGTATATTGGGGGTTCTGATTGGGCTGTTCAAAGATGTAACATATGGATGAAAAGAGAGTCATGGAATAAGGTTTATAGTGTTTATTTGGAGGATGGGATTATAAAAGTATTGGGACTAAATAGAAGTAGTGAGGTTTTAGTGGTAACAATGCAACAGCGAAAGTCATTCCATTTTGTTGATCTTAAGAAGAGCATGGGGGTGAAGGATATTCGTATAAACACAAGTACACATGCTTGGGCTTATGATTACACAGAGAGCCTTCTTTTACTTGACAAAGAAAACAATTATAATGCTGCAATGAATAATATGGGAAGATGAATTGAAGAGTGAAAGCTGAAGTTTTACTTGCCAACTAAGATTGAAGTTCCTTCCTATATTGAGGTTTAGGTTCTAAAGACAGCTACAAAATTTGTTTTATTTCTTTTATTTCTTCTAAATGATTAAGGATGTCCTTTCATATACTATATTGTTTTCGTTTTCAAATTTTCAGGCTTCTTGTTTATATTATTATTCTTTTTCAATGATTTCTGATTATCATCATTTACAATAGATATTTTGCTGTGCACTTCCCCTGCAATGCTACAAAGCGTTAATTCACCTCTAAGTGCTTTAAATCCAATATGCATTAACAATATCTGCTCAGTCCAACTGAAAAGAGTACTTGCACATTACAAGAATATCTGCTGTCTCGATAGTGTAATTAGTATTATTGTCATAAAAAAAATAATTATATAAGAACCCTCTGATCTTAGAACTCACTTGAAACTCTGTTATCTCCGTTGTCGTGTTTGTTGCAATCACAACAAATATATCGGTCATACAAATAATAAAGAAGTGAGTACAGTATCATTTCCACGATGATTACAGACATTATTCACTTTTCTTACTATTTCCCTTAATTTGTACAATTCAATGAGTTTGAAAGAGTAAGCTTTAAAGATGAGAAAGCCAAAAAAATAAAATAAAGAAATCTGCAAGTAAAATTCAATTGCAAAACAAAAACGCGGAAAATTAAAAGTTGAATTTAGAAATTAATAGTAAAAATGACAGTTAGGTCTACTTCACCTCCGATTCTCCTTTTATAATTTAATTTAATTTAATAATATTCTATCTCAATTGTTTCAAGCAATTCAATTCATCATCTAAATAATTAATTGATTAAATTCTAATGTCTTGGTGCATTTAACCCTTTTTCCTAATTGGAATTCTAATGTATTAGTAACCCCTTTTAGATTAAGTCTTAAGGGAAATGAATTACAAAAGTTTGCAATTTCTTCAAGCCTATGTATAGATCATGCAAGAATTAACGTTTTACTCTTGTCTAAGTCAAGATCCCAATATGTCTATTGCGAGTCCTAACTCTTTTTTTTTATATCAAACCCTAACCCTCTTTATCCCTATATAATTGACTAGAGCATACAAGAATTTAAATATGCAAATTTGAGGTAAACACAAATAATTTGAGACAAATTATTATTGAAAGGAAATTAAATCAAATTCTCTCTTAAAACTCTGATTTCTCCAGCAATTCTTCGTCTCTGTGCTCTGAATTCGTTCCAACCAAGTATTCCTTCAATAAGGTTTTTTCTTCCTTTTATATGATTCAAAATCACCCCAATCGTCCACAAGATATGCCAAATTTGAGATTCACTTAACAAGACATGTGCGTCTGGCGCTAGTGGCGCGGTTTTGGCGCTGCTGGCACCAGTAAACAGAAGCTTAATTATACCTTGGCGTTGATATAGCGCCACACCCGCACTAGTGGCTCGGTGAATTCGACATGTTGGCACTGGGAAGTGCTAATTTCGCGCTAGAGGTGCTAGGAAATAGATACTTTTTGGTATCTTTGGCACTGCTAGCGCCTAGCGCCTAGCGCCAGTCTGGGGCTTGGAGTGCTAAATAAATCAGGGGCCTTTGGCTCGGCACGTGAAGGCCAGAGTTTACATATCTAAAATTAGTTGTTGGAACCAAATTTGAAGTTGTATAAAAGATACTTTAATAAAAAGGCCTCGGGTTCCAATTCAAAAGTTCGACCTTAGAACCTCTCTAGTATATTAATTTTTATTATTTATTTTTTATACTAATTATAATAGTCATTTCTCTCTCCTCAATCCATTTCACTCGATTTTATTGGTTAAATAGTTTTTTTTTTTGAATGATTTTGTTCTATATTATGTTGTTTGGATATACATTAAATTTATGAATATTTATGGAATTACTAGTGCTGTTGATTGTATATTCTGTTTGGATAAATTTTTGTTGTCTTATTTTTTTTAAACAGGCTAATAGGCTAAACCAGACTTTTATTTTTTGTAAATAAGTCAGACCACATGCAGATAATTATATTCATAACAAGTAACAAGCTTGGTCACACATTTAAATACAGGTTTAGCCTTTTATGACCAATGCTTGGCTCGGCCTGACATGTTAACACCCCTAAGCCCGGCTAAGTAGAAGCTTTCCTTCTTTCACACTTGTAGTTTGATCTCTTTTCAGTATAAATCTTTCTACAAAACACAAGAATTTTAATGAGAGAAGGTCTGAGAATTGATTTGCAATCTTTATCACAATTAATATGCCTTTTTGAATCAATTTAGATTAAATTCTTTCATATTTTGGCCTTTAAAACATAATATGCTAAATGCATATCAGTGTTCGTTTAGGGGGAGGGATTAGATACCTGTGGGGATTAAGCACAATTAAGTAGTGAGATTTTAGGGGTAAAAGAGCAGCAACCAGGGACCTTTCTTTCTTTAGGGATGAAGGATATTGGTATCCAAACTACACCTGTAAGTGCACATGCTTGGGCTAGCTATTGATTACACAGAGAGCTTGGTTTTACATGACAAAGAAAACAATTATGCAGTTTAGTGTGGGGGAATGAATCATATGGAAGATGAATCAAAGAGTGGAAGTTTTGTTATCTATGTTTAGGCAAGCATTTGGTCTCTGATGTCTAAGAGATTCGAATCCAATGCACACATTAAAAATGTAATAGGTTTCTTTCTTTTTTATATACATTTTATATTAAATACGTTTGATTGAAATATATTAAAAAGTTTAAAATATGAAACGGTACAACATTAAATCAGATTTGAATTCAAATCTTATGATACGGTTTCATTCACTATTAAAAAAAAAAAGCCTTGTTATCAAAAAAAAAAAAAAAAAAAGCCCAATCTTTTTAAGATTTGAATTGCAATTAGATAATTTTATTTCCTATATAACACAAGAAATATTAAACCATATTTATAATTAGATAAACATCAAATTTGTTTGAGATTGACTAAAATATAAAATCAATTTTATAATGGATAAATATACTTTCAATTCAATTTTTTAAATTCTAAATCTATTCTTCCTATCTTATTTATTACTTGTTGTATATTTCAAATATATTTAAGATTGATTAAAAATAAAAACTTATTTTATTATATTTCAATATACTTTTTTATTTAATTTTATTCTTCATGCCTTATTTATTATATATTTTTATTTAGATGCACATTAAATCTACTTGAGATTAACTAAAAAAAACCAATTTTATTATTTTTAAATTTATTTTCTACTAATTTTCAAAAATAATCCTCTTCTTTCTATCTAATTTATTTATTGATTATATATTTAGATCCAGATAAAGAATAATACATTTAATACATGATTTATATAATATTTTTAAATTATTTTATTTTTAAATCTACTGATTCGTAAAGATTTACCATTCACTATTAAAAAACAGCCATTGAGATATATTTGAATTGCAATTCGATAACTATATATTTTACATGGGATTAAAATTGGGAAGAGTGACCAAAGTGCCACTGTTACACAACTTATTTCCCTAAATGCCACGCCAACAGTGTAATTTTTCAATATCCCACGCGGGCAAGTTCGCTACAGTGCCCAGCGAACTTGGTAGCCAACGATTTCGTTACAAGTGACACATTTTGGCAGAAAAAGTTGACTGTCACGTGTCCAAGTTCGCGACGACTGGTAGCGAACTTGGTAGCCAATGATTTCGTGACACGTGGTATACTTTGGCAGGAAAAGCTGACTGGACGAAGTTCGCTACCAGGGGTAGCGAACTTGGTGTGCTAGGTGGCACAATCTCATTGCCCGATCAGAATTAATGTTCCAATCACAATAAAAAGACAGAAAAAGAAGGAAAATGACAATTAATTGTATTAATGTATTAATCACAATTAATGTACCAATCACCAATCACAATTAATATATCAATCACCATTCACAATTAATTTTGATCATAATTAATGTATCAATCGCAATTAATTTTGATCAGTAGATTAATTGTTTGTGATATCATTGTTACAAATTCGAACACGATGTTTGTGAGAGATAAAATATGTCAAATGATGTGTTATTGGGTAGATCTCGAAAAGTTATATGAAATAAAATAAAAAATATCTGATTTAGATATCCGAATCAAAAGTTATGGCCCTCCGAAGTGATTGGTGATTGGTACATTAATTATGATTGGTACAATAAAAAGTTAATCCTATTTGTACGCTAATTGTGATTGACACATTAATTGTGATTGCTAATTGACACATTAATTAAATTTCCATTTTCCTTCATTTTCTATGTTTTATTGTGATTGATACATTAATTCTGATTGTGCCACGTGACACCTAGTTTGCTGCATGTGGCAGCGAACTTCTCCAATGTGTCAGCATTTATTGCAACATAGTTCGCTACTGGGAGTAGCGAACTTGTTGTCCACCAGAAACGTGCCACGTCAATCCAAGTTCGCTGGGCACTATAGCAAACTTGCCCGCGTGGCATATTGAGAAATAACACTGTTCACGTGGCATTTAGGTAAAAAAGTCGGTGAACAGTGGCATTTTGGTCACTGTTCCTAAAAATTGATACTACCAAATAATTTATTACCATATCTTAATAGTTGATTTCCTCTAATCATCAGGTATTTATTGCGAATTAATAATTAATTAATGAATTTGAATTGTGAAAATGATAACCGTTGATTGGCCGCAGAATCAATGATTAAGATATAATAGTGACATTGGCAGTAACATTATTTGGTAGTAACAATGTCTTATCCCATTTTATATTATCAAATAAATTTGAATTTTGAAATAGGGGAGATGTTATGGTTACTACCTATTTTTCTTACTAGCTGTCACTACCAAATCTTAACCGTTGATTTCTATCAATCTAACAGTTGTAATTTATAGGGTTATACTTATTAATTAATTACTAATTTGCAATAAATTATAACCGTTAGATTGACGAAAATCAACGGTTAAGATTTGGTAGTAAGAAAAATATGTAGTAATTATAACCTTTCCCTTTGAAATATATTAAAAAGTTAAAATATTATCACATATGATACGGTACAAAATGAAATCAGATTTGAGTATTATATATTACACTTTTGCAGTATATATATATATATATATAAATTTAAAGTTCGACACCTCATTTGAGAGTCGTTAGATCAAAAAAGGTAATGGTGTCACATGCTTACAAATCAGAGTTGTTGATTAATCTTTTTTGATCTAATGACTCTCAGACGAGTGTCAAACATTACACTTTACATTTGATACTGGTATCAAAGATCCTACCCCCACACACATATACAGTGTCAAATTTAAAATTTGACACCTCGTCGTCTGAGAGTCATTAGATAAAAAAAAATATCAATAGTGTCACATGTTTACAAAGTCGCTAATCTTTTTTTAATCTAATGGCTCTCATATAAAGATGTTAAATTTCAAATTTGACGCTGGTGTCAATGGATCATACGTCCACACACACATACATACATATATATATATATATATATATATATATATATATATATATATAGCAAAGAAACAAATGGAACCTGAACTCTGTCTTCCTCGTAGAGATTAACTAAATTACAATGAGTGACTATTTCCCAGAGGTCATAGTGGAGGAAATCCTTCGTCGCCTACCACTCAGAAACATTAGAAAATGCATGTTAGTGTGCAAAGCATGGAACGAAATGATAAAGAGTCACGCTTTTATATTCTCACACCTCCAATACTCTCTCTCCAATCCCTCTTCTCCTATGGTCATTATGGGTACCCGTTGTTCCCATGCATATTATGAGGATGAGTTTTCCCTATGCTCCTCCTTCTCTTCCTTTCAAAGAATAGAAAATATCAAACACTCGCTTCCTATTGAAGCAGATTCCTTTTGTGCGGGCGCTGTCAACGGCGTCGTTTGCCTCTACAACCATGACGATTTATACAGAAACATCACATATAATATCATACTATGGAACCCTTTGATAGATAGACACCTCAAACTCCCAACCCCACTTTTCTCCTACGAAGAATTTAGTTACTTTCATGAAGTAAGACTCGGGTTTGGATTTGATTCAAAGAAAAATGATTTCAAGGTGGTAAGGATTTTCTCATATTTGGAGGGACTACTACTACTACCAAAGGTTGAGTTGTATTCACTCAATGAAGGTGCTTGGAGAGTCATTGATTATGATGCTTCGCATGGTTTATTAAGACAAGATATATTAGACACCACACCTTGTTTTTTCAATGGGAATGTGCATTGGATTTCTTATGATAAATATGGAATATATGATTATTTATTGATCTTCAATATGGTGGAGGAAAAGTTCAAGCGAATGGAGTTGCCAGATGAGGTCAATGAATGTACATTTTTGGATGTTTCTGTTATGAAGATTGTCTCTCTCTTATAGAGTATATTGGACGTTCTGATTGCGATGTTAGAAGATGTAACATATGGATGAAAAGAGAGTCATGGAATAAGGTTTATAGTGTTTATTTGGAGGGTGGGATTAGAGATATATTGGGACTAAACAGAAGTAGTGTTGTGTTTGTGTCAACAGTGCAACAACCAATTTCATTCCATTTTGTTGATCTTAAGAAGAGCATTGGGGTGAAGGAGCAACCAATGTCATTCCATTTTGTTGATGTTAAGAAGAGCATAGTGGTGAAGGATATTGGTTTAAAACCAAGTGCATATGCTTGGGCTTATGATTACACACAGAGCCTTCTTTTACTTGACAAAGAAAACAACTAATGCTGCAATTAATAATATGGAAGATGAAGTGAAACTCATTTTTCTTGACACAGAGCATAGTTATATCATTTTTCTTTCATTTGTACTACCAAACCCTCTTATCTTAGAACTCACTTGAAAGTGAAACTCCATTGTCTCCAACCTGTAAAAGAAAATTCCAAGGTTTTTAAAAAACGTTTCTTAGAACTCTAGTCTATTGGGTATGAGCCATACTTTGCATGTTAATGAGAGCCTTGTTGTCGGGTCAGCAAAAGGCAAAGGGGGTTCCGCTCCGCCGGTGGGGAGGTCCGGGGGTAGCGCCTATGAATAGCTACTGTTAGGATTTTCTAATCCTATTTATATTCTCTTTGTAAATCGAGTGACTTGTAGCGAGCGGCGGTGAGGTGAATATAGTAAAGACAAGTTGGACGTAACCTACATTAGGTGAACCAGTGTAAATCACCGTGTCAAAATTCTCTCCTTTTTTTCTTTCATTTATTGATTTGTGTGTAATTGTCAATTTCCAAAGCAATCGTAGAAAAAGATTTATAGTGTTCATTTAGGGAGAGGGATTAGACACCTATGGGGATTACGCACAATTAAGCAGTGACATTTTAGTGGTAAAAGAGCAGCAACCAGGGACCTTTCTTTCTTTAGTGATGAAGGATATTGGTATCCAAACTACACATGTAAGTAGACATGCTTGGGCTGTGTAAAACAAAAAAAAACAATGATGCAGTTTAGTGTAGGGGAATGAATCATATGGGAGATGAATCAAAGAGTGGAAGTTTTGTTTTCTATGTTTAGGCAAGGATTTGGTTTCTGATGTCAAATAAGCTGAAAATTTCAGGCTCTGCAGAGCAATAATCTAAGATTGAAGTGACATGCTGTTAAAATTTAGGTTCCAAAGACAGTTACAAATTCTGTTCTGTTTTTCTTCCGAATGATGAAGGATGTCCTTTTAGTTCTATATTGTTTTAATTGATCTACATTGTCAGTAGGAGATTTATATTTACAAACTTTTTTGTCTACAAACTTTTACAAATTATACTATATATTTTCAGAAATACACTAGGTTATATTATATACTTCCGGAAATACATAGTGTAATTTGTAAAAATTTATAAAATAAAATTAGAAACGAATCCTTCCCTTTATCAGTATTGTTTACATTATCTTTATTCTTTACTATTTTTGAACAATTACGGATTATCATCAGCACTGAAAATTGTTCATTTACAATGAATATATTGTTGTGCACTCCCCCTGTATTGCTACAAAGCGTTATCCCACCTTTAAGAGCTTTAAATCCAGTACACATTAACGATATCTGTTCAGCCCGTGTTGTGCTTTGATCCCAATGGGTAGTTATCTTTTCTTTTTCTTATATACATTTTTTTAAAATGATTGTCATGGGTTCGCTTTTCTACCGTTAACGTAGATTTATAGTGTCAAAAAGATTTATTATATATCAATATACTTTTTTTATTTAATTTTATTCTTCATGCCTTATTTATTATATTTTTTTATTTAGATACACATTAAATCTACTTTTAAAAATAACTTTTAAAAATAATCCTATTCTTTCTATCTCATTTATTTATTGTTATATATTTAGATTCCGATAAAGGATAATGATTTATATAATATTTTAAAATTATTTTCTTGTTATATTTTTAAATCTAATGATTCGAAAAGATTCATCATCAACTACTAAAAAAACAGCCATTGAGATATATTTGAATTGCAATTCGATAACCAAATATTTTATATTATCAAATACATTCGAATTTAAATATATTAAAAAGTTAAGATATTATCCCATGTGATTCTGACCCATACATATATATATATATATATATATATATATATATATATATATATATATATATATTCCTACCAAGAAAAAAAAAAGGGACATAAAGTTAAACTCTCTCTTCCTCATAGTCATAAAGATTAACACAAATTACAATGAGTGAGTATCTCCCAGATGTGATAGTGGAGGATATCCTTCGTCGCCTACCACTTAGAAGCATTGGAAAATGCATGTTAGTGTGCAAAGCATGGAACATAATCATAAAGAGTCACACTTTTACATTCTCACACCTTCAACACTCTCTCTCCAATCCCTCTTCTCCTATGGTCATTATGGGCACCCGTTCCCGTTCATATAAAAAGCAGGATGAGTTTTCCCTATGCTCCTCCTTCTCTTCCTTTCCAAGAATAGAAAATATCAAACACTCGCTTCCTAATCCTAATTATGCAGCTTCCCTTTTGCAAAGTGTGGGCGCTATAAACGGCGTCGTTTGCCTCTACAACCTTGACCTTGAATACATATACATCACAGATAATATCATACTATGGAACCCTTTGATAGATAGACACCTCAAACTCCCAACCCCACTTTTCACCTTCAAAAATTTATACAAAGCAGGACTCGGGTTTGGATTTGATTCAAAGAAAAATGATTTCAAGTTGTTAAGGATTGTTTATCCTATACCCCCTACGGGATGGGATGATACTCCCCAAAAAGAAAAAAAAGGTGATGAGTTTTTCTCATGGATACCAAAGGTTGAGTTGTATTCACTCAATGAAGGTGCTTGGAGAGTCATTGATGATGATGATGATGATGATTCTTCATCACATGGGTTATTAAGAAGAAAAATATCAGAGAAGACACCTTGCTTTTTCAATGGGAATGTGCATTGGATTGCTTATGATAAATATGGAATATCTGATTTTATATTGATCTTCAATATGGTGGAGGAAAAGTTCAACCGAATGGAGTTGCCAGAGGAGGTTAAGATTTTTCGGTCTTGGGAAAGTTTGGATGTTTCTGTTATTGAAGATTGTCTCTCTCTTATAGAGTATATTGGGGGTTCTGATTGGGCTGTTCAAAGATGTAACATATGGATGAAAAGAGAGTCATGGAATAAGGTTTATAGTGTTTATTTGGAGGATGGGATTATAAAAGTATTGGGACTAAATAGAAGTAGTGAGGTTTTAGTGGTAACAATGCAACAGCGAAAGTCATTCCATTTTGTTGATCTTAAGAAGAGCATGGGGGTGAAGGATATTCGTATAAAAACAAGTACACATGCTTGGGCTTATGATTACACAGAGAGCCTTCTTTTTCTTGACAAAGAAAACAATTAATGCTGCAATGAATAATATGGGAAGATGAAGTGAAGAGTGGAAGCTGAAGTTTTACTTGGCAACTAAGATTGAAGTTCCTTGCTATATTGAGGTTCTGGTTCTAATGACAGCCACAAACTTTGTTTTATTTCTTCTAAATGATTAAGGATGTCCTTTAATTTACTACATACTATATTGTTTGGTTTTCAAATTTTCAGGCTTGTCGTTTACATTATTATTCTTTTTCAATGATTTCTGATTATCATCATTTACAATAGATATTTTGCTGTGCTCTTCCCCTGCATTGCTACAAAAAGTTATCTCACCTCTAAGTGCTTTAAATCCAATACGCATTAACAATATCTGCTTAGTCCAAATGAAAAGAGTTACTCGCACATTACAAGAATATCTGCTTAAAGAAAATTCCAAGGTTTAAAGAACGTTTCTTAGAACTCCAGTCATGGAATAAGATTTATAGTAGGGGCAGGGATTAGACACCTATGGGGATTAAGCACAATTAAGTAGTGAGATTTTAGTGATAAAAGAGCAGCAACCAGGGATCTTTCTTCCTTTAGGGATGAACTGATGTAAGTAGACATGCTTGGGTTATGTTGATTACACAGAGAGCTTGGTTTTACTTGACAAAGAAAACAATGATGCAGTTTAGTGTAGGGGAATGAATCATATGGGAGATGAATCAAAGAGTGGAAGTTTTGTTATCTATGTTTAGGCAAGCATTTGGTCTCTGATGTCAAATAAGCTGAAAATTTCAGGCTCTGCAAAGCAATAATCTAAGATTGAAGTGACATGCTGTTAAAATTTAGGTTCCAAAGACAGTTACAAATTCTGTTTTGTTTTGCTTCCGAATGATGAAGGATGTCCTTTTAGTTCTATATTATTTGAATTGATCTACATTTTTAACGGAAGATTATATTTACAAACTTTTTATTTACAAAATCAAAGAGTGGGACATTCAATGCCTTGTCTGCCACCACAATTGCTTTTTTTTATTCGATTTAAAATTCGATTTTTAAAAGAAATTCTTTTCTCACCATCCATATTTAAATTCAAACAATGTGATGGGCAGTGGGCCATTAAATGCCTTGTGTGGCACCACAAATGGTCATTTAATTATTCGATTTAAAATTTAAAATTCGATTTTTAAAACAAATTCTTTTCCCACCATCCATATTTAAATTCAAAATTTTAAACCATTTAAAATTTCGAATTTTAGATCAGACTACCAATTCCAACATAAAAAGCAATTAAAACAGTAGATTTCTTTTTGGATACCAATGTGATGGGCAGTGGGACATACAATTCCTTGTCTGCCACCACAAATGGTCATTTAATTATTCAATTTACAATTTAAAAATCGATTTTTAAAAGAAATTCTTTTCCCACCATCCATATTTAAATTTAAAATTTTAAACTATTTCAAATTTTGAATTTTAGATCAGACGACCAATTCCAACATAATAAGCATTTAAAATAGCTGATTTCTTTTTGGATACCAATGTGATGGGCAGTGGGAAATTCAATGCCTTGTCTGCCACCACAAATGGTCATTTAATTATTCGATTTAAAATTAAAATTTGATTTTAAAAGAAATTCTTTTCCCACCATCCATATTTAAATTCAAAATTTTAAACCATTTCAAATTTCGAATTTTAGATAAGATGACCAATTCCAACATAAAAAGCAATTAAAACAACTTATTTCTTTTTGGATACCAATGTGATGGACAGTGGGACATTCAGTGCCTTGTCTGCCACCACAAATGGTCGTTTAATTATTCGATTTAAAGATTAAAATTCGATTTTTAAGCGAAATTCTTTTCCCACCATCCATATTTAAATTAAAATTTTAAACCATTTCAAATTTTGAATTTTAGATCAGACGACCAATTCCAACAAAAAAAGCAATTAAAAAAGCTGATTTCTTTTTTGATACCAATGTGATGGGCAGTGGGACATTCAATGCCTTGTCTGCCACCACAAACGGTCATTTAATTATTCGATTTAAAAATTAAAATTCGATTTTTAAAAGAAATTCTTTTCCCTCCATCCATATTTAAATTCAAAATTTTAAACCATTTCAAATTTCGAATTTTAGATCAGACGACCAATTCCAACCTAAAAAGCAATTAAAACAGTTGATTCTTTTGTGATACCAATGTGATGGGCAGTGGGACATTCAATGCCTTGTCTGCCACCACAATTGCTTTTTTTTATTCGATTTAAAATTCGATTTTTAAAAGAAATTCTTTTCCCACCATCCATATTTAAATTCAAAATTTTAAACCATTTCAAATTTCGAATTTTAGATCATAAAAAGCAATTAAAACAGCTGATTTCTTTTTGGATAGCAATGTGATGGGCAGTGGGAAATTCAATGCCTTGTCTGCCACCACAAATGGTCATTTAATTATTCGATTTAAAATTAAAATTTGATTTTAAAAGAAATTCTTTTCCCACCATCCATATTTAAATTCAAAATTTTAAACCATTTCAAATTTCAAATTTTAGATAAGATGACCAATTCCAACATAAAAAGCAATTAAAACAACTTATTTCTTTTTGGATACCAATGTGATGGACAGTGGGACATTCAGTGCCTTGTCTGCCACCACAAATGGTCGTCTAATTATTCGATTTAAAGATTAAAATTCGATTTTTAAATGAAATTCTTTTCCCACCATCTATATTTAAATTAAAATTTTAAACCATTTCAAATTTTGAATTTTAGATCAGACGACCAATTCCAACATAAAAATAATAGGAAAAGACAAATGATGTAGCAATCATGATCTCATAGTCCACTAACAATTTAATATATATATATATGTATGAATCTGATTGAAAATGCCTAAATTTGCATGCAAGGTTGATTCGAGAAAGCTCCTCACCAACTTCTGTGCTACACAAAAAATCAAATGGCCTGTATTAAAGGGGTATAAGTGTACAACCTTTTTTAAAACATTGTATAAATATATTTTAAATATATTTTAAGAAAAAAATCTAAACATGTGTTTTTAGAGAATTTAAAGATTTGGCCTATGAATAAAATATTCTAGAATTTAATGATTTAATCTAAACACACATGCAAGAGTCTCTCGTGCATCTTAAGTGAAAATAGTAAATGCATTGATTGTGAAATTCGAATTTCAAAGTTTTAACATTAACAAAAAATAGTAAATGACATTGATTGTGAAATTCGAATTTCAAAGTTTTCACATTAAAAGAATATAGTAAATGGCATTTATTGTGAAATTGAAACTGAAATTTGGAAATTAATTGTGAAATTGAAACTGAAATTTGGAAGTTTTCAACCTTGAATGAAAATAATAAATGACATAATTAGTATTAATTATAAGTTTTCAACCTTGCATATTTCAAGGCAAGTGCATATCGAGTACTGAATTCTACCTTCAAAGACCATTCTTATAATATTATATATATATATATATATATATATATAAATATGCATTCAATGAAGTAATATTTGTTACCTTGAGTAGAAGAAGGACTAGAAGGTAGCAAAACCTCCGAACCCAAGACGCGTCCTTTCCTGCAAAAATCATATAGTTAAAAACAATGGAATTGATTCTAAAGTCTTCCAAGTTTAATAATCATTCAAAATTTATAAAATCAATTCTTATATAATAAAATATTTAACTCAAAACTATTTTGACAAAGACAAATATATAGACAGCTTGTAAGTAATTGGATACCTCAAACTTGTTATGTCACAAATACAATGTGTCCAAGTCTGTGTCATGTTGTGTCCGATGTGTCCATGTTTAGGTGATTTGAAACCAGCTCGAAATTAAAATTTACTTTCAACTAAAATAGCTCTGAACCAGCTTTTAATTTACCAAACTCCCCTTCAGGTTGCATTTGACAAAACAATCAAATAAAAGAGCCTAAGTAGAAGATGTGTAAAATCTCTCAGTAAAAACTATTTTGCTGATGCAATTAAGCATAATCATCAAAAAAGTTATCACTTTCATCAAAAAGTAAATGTACAAACATATGTAAAAAATATTTTACATCTTTAGCATGCTGGGCTTTGAAAAAAAATCATTTTTAGATTTTAGTTTTATGGATAAGGTAAACAAAAGTGGATGAACAAGAAGGTAATGATGGAAAATTGAATACCCAAATCAGAGTCGGCAGGATTGAGAAGAGCCTAAGTAGAAGATGTGTAAAATAGCTCTGAACCAGCTTTTAATTTACCAAACTCCCCTTCAGGTTGCATTTGACAAAACTATCAAATAAAAGAGCCTAAGTAGAAGATGTGTAAAATCTCTCAGTAAAAACTATTTTGCTGATGCAATTAAGCATAATCATCAAAAAAGTTATCACTTTCATCAAAAAGTAAATGTACAAACATATGTAAAAAATATTTTACATCTTTAGCATGCTGGGCTTTGAAAAAAAATCATTTTTATATTTTAGTTTTATGGATAAGGTAAACAAAAGCGGATGAACAAGAAGGTAATGATGGAAAATTGAATACCCAAATCAGAGTCGGCAGGATTGAGAAGAACCCTCGTAGAGGAAACGGATGCATCACATTCAGAATTAGATTCCTTCGCCTTCTTCCGCACTAGCTTGTGTTCTGGGAGTTGCCGTTTTGTGGAAGCCATTGTCGCTTCGCAAGGTCATAAAAAAACTGCAGTAACATGTGCCAAAACAAAATCTCACCTGAGCGAGATGCGTTTTATAATCACTCGTTAAGATAGGACGAGCTATTTTTGGGCTTCTTCGATCCAAAGCCCACATGTTCTTTGGGTTCTGCGTTCTCGCTCTTTTTTTTTAGGGAAAAGTTGACCAATATTCCTGTGGTTTGTTTCAGAATTACCTATGTTTCTGTGATTTTTTTTTCTATCACATATGCCCATGTACTTTGTAAAAAATAAAAAACCACAGAGGTATATGTGATAAAAACATACCCTTTTACAAACCACATGGGCATACATGATAGAAAAAAAAAATCACAGGGGCATAGTGATTCTG